TACTCCTACTACTGCTACTACTACTACTACTGCTACTACTACTACTACTACTACTACTACTACTACTACTACTACTACTACTACTACTAAATACTACTACTACTACTAGTACTATTGCTACTACTACTAGTACTGCAACTACTACTACTACTACTACTACTGCTACTACTACTACTAGTACTACAACTACTACTGCTACTGCTACTACTACTACTACAACTACTACTACTACTGCTACTAATACTGCTACTATTACTACTACTACTACTAAAAATAACAATAGTTACCAAGATTATTATTATTATTATTATTATTATTATTATTATTATTATTATTATTATTATTATTATTATTATTATTATCCCGTAAAGGGAAAGTTTAAAAAGTTGCCTTTTTTTTATATCCTTTTCTACTTCTTATCCTTCGTCTAACTTTTGTATTTATATCGTTCATACCTCAAGAACGCTTCTTCGGAAGTTCTTCAACTATTCAACACTTACATAAAGTAACATGGACCAGATTCATAGTACAGTTGCCAAGTTTACCTGGCCTGTGACCGGAGTTGTTGACCCATTCCCAGCATCCTGGAATGCCTGGAAAATCTTCCAGAATTGTCACTGATGTTGCTTCAAACCTTTCAAATTATCCTTTCTAAACGCCTTTATTATTTAATGGCTGAGGCATCTTAGTGCCTGGATAATTTAATGGCTGAGGCATCTTAGTGCCTGGATAATTTAATGGCTGAGGTATCTTAGTGCCTGGATAATTAATGTCTCAGGCATCTTAGTGCCTGGATAATTTAATGGCTGAGGCATCTTAGTGCCTGGATAATTTAATGGCTGAGGTATCTTAGTGCCTGGATAATTTAATGGCTGAGGTATCTTAGTGCCTGGATAATTTAATGGCTGAGGCATCTTAGTACCTGGATAATTTAATGGCTGAGGCATCTTAGTGCCTGGATAATTTAATGACTGAGGCATCTTAGTGCCTGGATAATTTAATGGCTGAGGCATCTTAGTGCCTGGATAATTTAATGGCTGAGGTATCTTAGTGCCTGGATAATTTAATGGTTGAGGCATCTTAGTACCTGGATAATTTAATGGCTGAGGTATCTTAGTACCTGGATAATTTAATGGCTGAGGCATCTTAGTACCTGGATAATTTAATGGCTGAGGCATCTTAGTGCCTGGATAATTTAATGGCTGAGGCATCTTAGTGCCTGGATAATTTAATGGCTGAGGCATCTTAGTGCCTGGATAATTTAATGGCTGAGGCATCTTAGTACCTGGATAATTTAATGGCTGAGGCATCTTAGTGCCTGGATAATTTAATAAGAACATAAGAACATAAGAAAGAAGGAACACTGCAACAGGTCTACTGACCCATGCGGAGCAGGTCCATGTCCCCCGCGGATTAGCCCAATGATCCCCCCCCGGATTAGCCCAATGACCCACCCAGTCTGGTCACCTCCACTCAAGGAAGGAGCACGGCACCAGACCCAGCAGCACAAGCTAGTCAGGTCTAACTCACACCAACCCACACACACTCATGTATTTATCTAACCTCTTTTTAAAACTACACAACGTTTTAGCCTGAATAACTGTACTCGGGAGTTTGTTACACTCATCCACAACTCTATTACCAAACCAGTGCTTTCCTATATCCTTTCTGAATCTGAATTTTTCCAACTTGAAACCATAGCTGCGAGTCCTGTCTTGGCTGGAAATTTTCAGCACGCTATTTACATCCCCTTTATTTATTCCTGTTTTTCATTAATACACCTCGATCATATCCCCCCTAATTCTACGCCTTTCGAGAGAGTGCAGATTCAGGGCCTCAGTCTATCCTCATAGGGAAGATTTCTGATACATGGGATCATCTTTGTCATCCTCTGTACATTTTCCAGAGCATTTACATCCATTCTGTAATACGGTGACCAGAACTGAGCAGCATAGTCTAAATGAGGCCTAACCAAGGATATGTAGAGTTGAGAACATAAGAACATAAGAACATAAGAACGAAGGAACACTGCAGAAGGCCTACTGGCCCATGCGAGGCAGGTCCAAGTCCCTACCGGCTTAAGCCAATGCACCCAACCTAGTCAGGTCAGGTCACATTGACTCAAGGGAGGAACACGGCAACCGACCCGTTAGCACAAGCTATCAGGTCTAACTCACACCCACCCACATCTACTCATGTATTTATCCAACCTATTTTTAAAGCTACACAACGTTCTGGCCTCTATAACGGTACTTGGGAGTTTGTTCCACTCATCCACAACTCTATTACCAAACCAGTACTTTCCTATATCCCTCCTGAATCTGAATTTTTCCAACTTAAAACCATTGCTGCGAGTCCTGTCTAGGCTAGATATTATCAGCACACTATTTACATCCCCTTTATTTATTCCTGTCTTCCACTTATAAACCTCAATCATATCCCCCCTAATTCTACGTCTTTCTAGAGAGTGCAGTTTCAGGCCCTTAGTCTATCCTCATAGGGAAGGTTTCTGATACATGGGATCATCTTTGTCATCCTCCTTTGTACATTTTCCAGAGAATTTATATCCATTCTGTAATACGGTGACCAAAACAACCTGAGGACTTCTATTATTTATACTTCTAGATATGAAGCCAAGAATTCTGTTAGCTTTATTGCGAACACTAATGCACTGTTGTCTTGGTTTTAGATTACTGCTAACCAGAACTCCTAAATCATTTTTGCAATCAGTAGTATTAAGATCAACATTATTTAGTTTATATGTGGCATGGTTATTTACCTGTCCAACATTCAGAACTTTGCATTTGTCAATATTAAACTGCATCTGCCACTTCTCCCACCATTGCGTCAGTCTATTTAAATCATCCTGGAGTGCTCTAATGTCCTCATTAGAATGAATTGGACGGCCTAGTTTGGTGCCATCAACAAATTTGCTTATGTCGCTATTTATTCCCTCATCTTTGTCGTTTATGTAAATTGTAAACAACAACGGGCCCAACACTGACCCCTGAGGAACACCGCTGAGGCATCTTAGTGTCGGGATAATTTAATGGCCGAGGCATCTTAGTACCTGGATAATTTAATAGCTGAGACATCTTAGTACCTGGATAATTTAATGGCTGAGGCATCTTAGTGCCTGGATAATTTAATGGCTGAGGCATCTTAGTACCTGGATAATTTAATGGCTGAGGCATCTTAGTGCCTGGATAATTTAATGGCTGAGGCATCTTAGTACCTGGATAATTTAATGGCTGAGATATCTTAGTGCCTGGATAATTTAATGGCTGAGGCATCTTAGTACCTGGATAATTTAGTAGCTGAGGCATCTTAGTGCCTGGATAATTTAATGGCTGAGGCATCTTAGTGCCTGGATAATTTAATGGCTGAGGCATCTTAGTACCTGGATAATTTAATGGCTGAGGCATCTTAGTGCCTGGATAAATACTTTTCAGTTTTCGTACCGGCAAATTTGATAGCATTTTAAAAAGCAACGAAAAAAGGATCTTGGAATCGTTTCCGTCTATGTCATATCACAAGAACGACTCTTCTGATCGGCATCAAATTATCACTAGTGTGAAGTTTAACTCAATGAATAGTGATAATCATTTTTTTTATTCAATAACTAAAGCTCCTTCTGGTAGGCTTCAAAATATTATTGCCAATATATTCTGTAATAATGGAAACCCATGAGTTTAGTCTCAGTAGATTCAAATTTTTGAGAAATATTTAAAAACTTGAAATCACTGGAATCAGATGAATGACTGGAGAATGAATTTTCTGATAGGCTTTAAACGTTTATTATTAGTGGACATTATTAATATACAACATATCACTCACTCTGAGCTGTGTAAATTTAAATTTTCCAATTTTACCCTGTAAATTGTTTAAAATGTCATACCTCGAGAAGGCCTCTTCTGCTCCTCTTCAAACCCTACATTCTGGTCTATCTTATTTAAAAGTATCTTTTACTTATTTTGGGCTGCGTGGGTGCCAGTTTCTAATAAAATCAAAATAATTTTTTTTTCTACGGGTTTAGAAAGAATTTAAAACAGATGAGAAAAAACTACTGTATAAAATCTTACGTTTTAGGGAGTTTTAAAGCTTAACGAAATGAGACTTTTCTACTCCTAGGAATATCGTCATCAACATTTTAATTTTCTGTCTCATATATGATCAGTATCAAATTTTCAGAGGTTTTGGTGATGTATCGTCGGTAAGATTCACTGGATTATTTGCAACTGTGTTGCGCTGCGCACAGTGTTCCTTAAATGTTTCCGTGTGTTAGGTGTAGACTGTGTGACAGGTGTAGACTGTGTGACAGGTGTAGACTGTGTGACAGGTGTAGACTGTGTGACAGGTGTAGACTGTGTGACATGTGTAGACTGTGTGACAGGTGTAGACTGTGTGACATGTGTAGACTGTGTGACAGGTGTAGACTGTGTGACATGTGTAGACTGTGTGGCATGTGTAGACTGTGTGACAGTTGTAGACTGTGTGATATGTATAGACTGTGTAACAGGTGTAGACTGCGTGAGAGATGTAAACTGTGTGACAGGCGTAGACTGTGTTGCAGGTGCAGACTGTGTGACAGATGTAAACCGTGTGACAGGTGTAGACTGTGTTATAGGTGTAGACTGTGATATGTGTAGACTGTGTGACAGGTGTAGACTGGTGTGACAGGTATAGACTGTGTGACAGGTGTAGACTCTGACAGGTATAGACTGTGTGACAGGTGTAGACTGCGTGACAGATGTAGACTGTGTGATATGTGTAGAATGTGTGACAGGTGTAGACTGTGTGACAGGTGTAGACTGTGTGCCAGGTATAGACTGTGTGACAGGTGTAGACTGTGTGACATCTAGACTGTGTGATATGTGTAGACTGTGTAACAGGTGTAGACTGCGTGAGAGATGTAAACTGTGTGACAGGCGTAGAATGTGTGATAAGTGTAGACTGTGTGACAGGTGTAGACTGTGTGACAGATGTAAACTGTGTGAT